TAAAAATATGGAACCTTTACGTTATGAAAAATGTGTATTTGAAAACATGGACACATCTTGAATAATGCTGATGTATAAAGAGGGTATTAATTAAAGAATTAAAAATAATTTATATGTTTATTCATTTAAAATTAATAAATTGCGCAAAAATCAATTTTGAGTCCCACAATCGATTGTAAATTGTTTAGTAATGTTTTTAAGTAGAACTGCGTTTTTTATTTATCTCAATATTTATATTTTAATCATGAATATTCGAATATTCATTTGTGTCGTCATAAATATCCGAATATTCGAATGTTAATCCAAATATAGCCAAATGATTCAATCATTCGCTTCACCTAAAAGTAAAAAAAGCAAACAAATAAATAGGTGAATGCTCATAGCAAACAATTTTTCGACCCTATCTAATATAATTACAAAAATCAGATTTCCTTTTTTCTTTATTTTACTTTGGAGCATTTTAGTAAAAGAAATTTTTACATAATGCCAGTAAATCGACGTATTTTTCGAGAAATTGGTGTCAGAACTTTTTTCCATCATATCATCAGGAAAATTAATTAGGCGCAAAAGTCTGGACAATAAAGTACATATTCTATTATCATTTTCAGAATTTATATTTACTAAATAAAATCGTGATAAAGAAACCAAATATTTTACTCTTTATTAATGATAATAATCATAAACATTTTCTTTGTATTAAATTGTTTAAAATTAAATAAATAATTAATTATAGACAACGTATCGACATTTAATGCATAATAATAAAATTAAAATGTTGCTGACGGTGGGGTTCGAACCCACGCATGCTTACACATACCAGAACTTAAGTCTGGCTCCTTAGACCGCTCGGACACGTCAGCTAGAATATGTTTTAGGTAATAAAATTAAATTCAATAAGCATTTTCGTTCCTTCCATTGGATGACAATAATTTCATTAATATTATTTCCGCTAAGTAACAATACTAATTATATCTAACAAGATATATAAAAATAAAAATTAGAGCATATCTTTATTCTTTTTAATATTTCTAAAGTATGACCATAATAATTATCTTTATTGTCTGTAATTCACAATTGTTGTAAGTGCTTATTTTATTTCCTAAACTTGTCATCACTAGTTTCGGCAAATTATTATTTAATTTTAATTGTTTTGTAGATCATAAAAATTTTTACCAGATTTATTTATATTATATATCACGTGTTTTAAGAAAAAAATTATAGTATTAAAAATTCTTAATATTATTATTCTTTACGTATTTTCATTATAAATAACCATACTGTTATTCCTATATTCTGACAATTTCTACACGTGCTCTTTTATGAACAAAATGTTCTACATCGGCTTCATTTGCGAGTTCCTGAGGAAATGGATGTATAACCATTTTAGCGTATGTATTTAAACCTTTTGCTAGATATCCAGGGTTAATACAGATTACATTATCTATGATCTAGAATACAATAAATATTTGTGTAATTAATTGAAAATTGATCTAAAAAAAATAATAATAATAAAGAATTACATTTACTTACCTTTGCAAAATGTTTTAGTTTTGAAGGTAAAATAAGAACATCGGGTGTATATAATAAATCAAGACTGGATGAATGTTTTAAATCCAAATTCACTTCACCCGGTGATGGTGGAAATAATGGATATAGACTAATAAAATAAGAAAAATTAATTAGATTAATAAGAATTTTGGCTAAATAATTCACAAAAGAAAAAAAAAATAACATTATGCTTAACTGTCTTTGAGTTAATAAATGATGTGATGTTCTGAAAATACGTTCGGCCTTATCAGTCCTGAATAATTTTAAAGAATCCATAATTTAAGAAATATTATTTACACATTTTCTTTGGGATGTAATTATAAAAAATATTAAAATTTTCAAATTCTCTTACGTTGAAACTTCTTCTCGATAAATATTACATAAAACATCAACGTTGCATATGGAAAAAATGATCTCATTTATTTGGAACTGAACGGGATTCGGAAAACATATAGTTTCCTATCATTAAATAATTTTTTTAATAATATAAAAAATACACAATAATCAAATAGTCAAATAATCAAATAATTTTTTAAATAATTAAAATACTAACTGGTGGTAATCCAGACTTGTCAAAGGGAGGTTGTGGAAATGCAAGATGATGATGACATATATCTTTTATGTTAGGAATCACAATTACTTTTATTTCTGGTAAATTATCCATGAACTTTTTCAAAGGTTGAGAGATCCGATTTCTAAAAGTTTCACCAGGAGTTTTTTTCATTTCACCCTCTTGTATCAAAGGATGGTCTTCGTGAATAAATGGTCCCATCTTTATGATAAATAATACACAAGAACAATTGATAAATATAATAATTGCATACAAGAATAATTGATTAATATAATTACAGATTGAAGATTATAATTACCAAAATTAAGACATTTGGTTTTTCTATTTTCATTTTATTAAGTAATTCAAGTAATGGTTCAAATTCTAATCCATTATCTAAAGTGTATGGACCTGCTGCAATAATCACTTTCAATGGATTTCCATTCAATTTTGTAGGTCCATAATTATAATCGATAACTGTTCCAGATCGAGTACGACACATTGGTAATAAAGGTATCTTGTAGATAAATTTAAAATAAGTAAAATTTTTGAATAATTTATATTTTAAAATGTATTTTTTTTTTTTTTTACCTCAAAGATTTTTGTTACAATCAATTCTTGTCCAAGAGTATTAAATCCCTGTATGCCTACGATCTAATAATAATAAAAAATAAATAAATCCGTTTTTGAAACTTTTTAAATTTAATGATTTAATGTGAATAAAATAATAAACACACTTGTCCCGGAAATAATGCATAAGATGAAAGATTGTTCAAAACCAATTTCACTCCTTTCCCTCCAAGAGTTGGTAATGGTTCTAAAATTATTGAATTAGAATTCATCTTTCCTTCTGAATCACAACATATTCTGCCCAATGTAAATATTTCACTCTAAAATGAATCCCATTAATTAGATTATTTAGATGAAATCTATAAAAATCTCTACAGTAAAATTCTTAAAGATAGTTTACTTGGCTCGACATTGCTGGATCTGCTATTGCATCAAGTTCAAACGCGTAATGTTTACATATAACTTCAGCAAAAATATTCATTCGATCGACCAAAACTAAATTTCATCAAATTGTAAGAATTTATATAATACTTTCCAATTAATTATGAATTATGTCAAATACAGATTTACCTTCAAATTTTTCATTAGGTGTTTGATACATATATTTATAATTATCCATTTGATGTTTTGACAAAACTGTAATATCACATCGATTTTTCATAGTTTCAAAATTATCAGTATTATATAGATTATCTACATTATCTAGATGAGCATTTAATATCTCTAAAGTTTTTCCTTTATTTGGTCTATCTTTAAACTCTGTTATTTTTAAAGAGTTAGTTTTCAAGTTTTCATTTTCGGTGGTTTGACTAACTTGCTTTTGGTGATTAATTGCTTGCGTGCCGTAAAGATCCAACCTAAAAGACAATAATATTCATGAAATGTAGTTAAGGTAACATTTTTCGCTTTTATATTTTATGTCAAAAGTTATATCAAAATGTGTTTTATGATGAACACAGTTTGGGATACATTTCACTAATTGTGTTCTTATCATAAATAACTGATTTTAGAGTATCCATAGCATCCATGTTTAATTAATACTTTACGGTAAATACTTAAGGTAGTAATTTGTCGATTAACGAGAATTACACGAAAGAACGCGAACTTAAATCAATTGAAGTGTATCATGTGATTACTAAGGATCATTATTTTTTGACTCTCGAGTTTATTAATATTACTTGATCTCGAAAACTGCTATTTTAATATTATTTATAGTATTAATCAAAGTTGTTTATTATATTATTTTACATATATTTTATTAATATTACAATGATTGTTTTTGCATTAGTTTCCAATATATTTAATGATAAAGATACTATATAAATTTTATATTTCTTAATAAAAATTGTTTCTTTTATTATTTTACATATATTTATATATCACAATAATAATTCAATATTACTATAAATTTAAAAATTAAAAATATTTAAATTTAATTTGAAATTTATTTTAGACTAATTTAAAAATAAAATCTCATAATTAGATTTGATTCAGGAGTCTTAGACTAATGATTTGAACCAAACTGTTCTAAACTTGCTCATATTTTTTTATTTTTTAATTTTCTTAATTAATTTTATTTTTTTTTTCACCTAGGTTAGTAGTCCCAAACTTAAGGAAGTAAATAAATGTTTTGCCCATAACAAAAAGTTCTACATTTCACCTTTTAGTTTAGCTCATTATATCTTAAACTGTTCTAAACATCTTAAATCTTTTTATCAGAATTATTATCTTAGACTCAATTTGGAAGTTAGAGTTAGACTCAACTCAAAGCACATCCTTAGACTCGATTTGACTCATTAGGAGTACCATATGTATAATAAGTTCAAATTGTTAAAAATATTAAACCAGAAGATACTGTATTCTTAATAACAACATATCTCTTCAACCAGTTAATTTTATATGGAATAATCTATAATTGTTAAATTAATCAATGCAAAAGTAGTAATAATATAATATTATATATTTGCACAATCAAATATTTTATTAGAATAGTAAGAAAATTAAAAATTGACTCTTCCAATATATTGGAAAAAAAAATTTAGGGGATTTCAATTTGAACTCTAAATTAAAAAGTGATAATAGTAGTGATAATAATTGTTTTTAACTTTAGATTAACTTTTTAGCAAAAAAAAACAACTTAAATTTTAATATAATTGAATCAATAGTAAAAATTTCTTGATATTCATTTACACATTTAAAATTCACTAACAAATGTTTAAATGTTGTTTTTGAGAAAGCTGAAGATGAAAATTTATTATTAAAGAAATACTTTTTAACTGAACTTATTCAAGATGATTATTTAGATAAAAAAAATACTATTAATTTGAATCCATGGATATATTGATATGTTGATAATTCTAATTTTTAGATATTATTAATATGGATGATAGTAATTTGAAATTCTAAAATAATAATTACCCACTTAATGAAAATTATTAAAATTTTGATTGACAAAATCTGAAGATATGAATAAAGAACAGTTCAGATTCTTGTTCAAATGCATAGTACAATACACTAGTCAAATACAAAAGAATCACTGTACCAAATGGTAATTCCTATATTATAGATCAGCTAAAATTGGAATTCCTATATCATAGATTAGCTAAAATCAACCATCCTATTTTATCCTATATTATAAATCAACTAAAATTGGAATTCCTATTTGTACTGTCTATTCTTTTGTGTTTGACCTGTGAATAGAATATCAATCTATAAATGTAAACTTTGATTTGAATAAATATGATTTGTCTATTGAACTGAATCATTGGAAAAACTGAAAATTTATATTTCTCAACAATATATATGAAATCTAAAAAGAAAATGTTAAAATATATTGTTTCAGATATTACAAGTTCAAACTATACATTGTAGTTCAAATTAATTTTAGCATAATAAGATTTTGAATGTTAAAAAATAATTTGAATATTATAAAATTTGAGAATTATAAAAATTATAACCAAAATTATGATTTAAAGATTATCAATTTTTAACAGATACTTGAACTTTAAATAATTTCTAATTATTGATATGTAATATGCATAATTAAAATAATGCTATATTATAACAAAAATATATACATTAAAAAATTTTCCCTTAAAATTTTGACATTTCTGGTAACTGATATTGTTAAATAAATTATTCTATAACATTTATTAATAACTAAATGATCTTTAATTGTAAAAATACAAAAAACAAAATTGTAACATATAATAAATAGTGTAAATAATGTTAATAGTGTTTAAATTATTGCAGTATGCATTATATATATGTATTATATTTTGCTTAAATAAATAAATATATTAATATATGAAGTTAGTTGGAAAATATATAATTAAGAAATAACTAATTAATAATTAATTAATTAATTAATTAATTAATCATACCTTGAGAAAATATTAAGTCACCTCTTTATAAATATATTAAAAGATAATATCTTCATCATTGTTTTCTAATAGATCCATTGATTCCGCTGCTTCATATTCTATATCATCATTTTTAGTAGCCTCTCTTTCTGCTTCATTCGTTTGCTGTTCTTTTTTCTTTTTACCTTGCACCTTTTTTAATCTAAAATAGAAAATTGTAAAATCAGTAAAGAATTAATAAACATGAATAGTAAACACCTATTATTAATTCACCTGAAGAATTCTTCACGATCTTGTTCATCCAATTCTGACAAGATATATTTGATCGTATTTTCTATCTTTGGTATAATAACATATTCAATTGCATTTACTCGACGATTGGTTATCTTAATAACTTCATCCAAGATAACGAAAGCAGTCTGAAATAATTTAATTATTATATATTTGATCATATATTTTATTATATCTTATCATATATTTTATTGTCTATACAGAATTTTACCTGTAAAGAAGCCAATTCAACCAAAGTCTCTACTGCTTTAATATAAGTCTCTTTGCATTTCTGAATTTGTTGACCACCGCGTCCAAGGCCAGTTAATTCAAAAACTTAAATATATATATATATGTATGATGGTATAATAAATAATAAAGAGTCTAAACGCGTTATAAAAAAAAAAATGAAAAACACATCAAACAATTTCCTAATAAACCATAATCATTTTAAAACAACTAACCATTTCCTCCTTCCATATAACTCTCAAATGCTGGTAAGAGTACACCAGATACATTTTCTTGTTTGGTACGAACCCGTAATTGTGCGGTCTTACCACTTTCCTGAATTTGGTAACTATAAATATTTTTATTCATGTGAAACCTTTGATATTGATCTTTAATATGTATCTTTCTAATATGCAAAGCAAATACCGACCTAATATCACCTGCGATATAAGTCACTTCTGCTAAAGAAAACGAAGCCACTTGCATCACTTTACCCATCTTTCGTTTAGCCTTAAAATATATAGAATATATAATCTTGAATATATAATATTTAAACCTATATCAAAGAATTAATGAATATAACGGATACACCTACTTCGTCAATTTTTTGAACTATTGCTCTAAAACGTTTAGTAAGTGCTTCACTCTTACGTTTCAATAAACTATGGCCTGTCTGCGCTCCCTTCAATTTCGACTTCATTAAAGTTAACGCCCTAAAAAAACCACATTATTCATTAAAAAGCTTTTGAACTTTGGAACTTTTCTATACTGGCTAAATACAATAATGAAGGAACGACATTTTACATTCGGGTAGGAAAAATGTTAAGCCTGGCACCTGTTCCGGACATTTTGTTGATCTTGATTTATTGGGAGGGTTGGAATTTGATAACAACGAATTTTGATGAGATAATGTGTTATGTCATGTGTTTCAATCTAAAGGTACTGTATGACAGATCGAATAAGCAACACTTAATTATTAAAATAACTAATTTTATCGGATGTGCATATATTCCGTCCCTTGACATCAACAACTTTTACTTTTGAATCTTTCGAGTATAAATTAATTTATTTTATAATATTTATTTATTTGTCTATTTATTATTTAATATAAAGGACAAATCTTTATTCAGATTTATTTATTCATTATAATTCATTCATTCATTTGTATAGGCAATCAAGAAATTCCAAAAATTAAAACTTATGAATATATTTATGTTAGAGACTACAAATGAATTTATCACAGTAGTAATCAAGGGAGAGATAAAGGGTAAGTTAAATCAAGGTATGAACTTTAAATAGGAGGAATAGCAGTCAGTGGAAATGTCTTTTGAAAATCAATTTTATATTAAAAATTTGTGTAACCTTAACCGATTTATGTGTTAGAATATCAAGCGTTTTTTCTCTACTTTTTTCCCGTTTAAAATATCATACTAAATAATATCTTAGTAGGTTACTTTTTTTAAGATCCTTATAAAGATATCAAAAAATAAATTTCTGAAGACATAATTATGCATAATTTCGTATGAGAAAAAATATTTATTAAGGTTAAAAAGGTACTTTTTCAATTAGTTTTTTTCGCAAATGTAAAAAAAAATGAATTAGTTTAAGTTTAATAAGAAATTTTTATTCACATATCTAAACTATACAATGCTTTTTATAATGGATTTATTTTTGCAAAAATTATAATAGTATTTTATTAATTAATAATAATGTAAATAATGTTTATAACAAATTTAATTTTATTTTAAGAATAAAGTTTTAATTAATTAATTCGAGATTCGCGAGAAACGGAAAGGATTTTTACATAATAAATTTTGGGCAAAATAAAATTTTAAATATAATCGAAAAGAAAGTTTTCGTTTATTAAAAAAAGGAAACTTTATCTTATTTTATTAATGTAACCATTTGACTTTAAAAATATATAAAATCAGTTCCTTTGATTTTTTTATCATAATTGATAAAATGACTTTTGTAATTTTCCCATTCCGGCTTGAGATTATCGCATATATA